AGTATACATTACATTGCAGGTTTGACTGGCAAATGAGTAATCCAAATGTAATATTGCCTACTGGCTTAATGATAAATCACGATCAGCTATATTGAAGTAAACAAAAATCAGCACTAAATGGCTTCTATTGCTATTCTTATGGAGAACATTTTACGTTTTATCTAATTTTGTGTTAAAATTGAGGGATTTTCACTATTTTTCCTGCCGTCACAGGATCGAGACCTTTAATTTGAGACCTCTCCCGTCGTTCTACGACTTCCCAGTCGCTCACAATTTTGACGCAAAGAATCGGCTTACGTAATTAATATATAGATAGATGATGATGATGATGATTTTACTGTGCAATTAATTTGCAAATTTGTGTATTTTTATTTAAATTTGTTAAACATATGGTAAGAGTAGAATTACAGGAGAATGCTCAAATTTAAGGAATTGAGACTCGAATGGCTGACAAAATAATTAAGTTACACAAGTTTTAGCCCAGAACCAAATACAAGGAAATTTGGATAATGAAAGCATATCAGTTCAAACACTTCAGCTTTGTTTTTATTAAAACTTATGTTTACAAATGATTTTTCCTACAGTTACCTGACAAAGTTGGCTTCCTTGCACTGATTATAGCATGCCAAGTAGCTAATTGGTACAGTCACTTACATTTGCCGCACCAATTTGTTTTTTACCGCACTCCAGTATTCCAAACAAACAACATAACCCAGTCAGTGGCGTAACTAACGCCAATGCAACCAATGTGGTGCATTGGGGCGCAGGCCTTCAGGGGGCGCAAAAAACTGTTATTCTGGAAAATTTTTTGCAAAAAATATCTCCCTGTAGCTTACCGAAAATAAATGAAAAAAATATTCGTGGGATTCTGTTACAGTCACAACAGAATGTTGGCGACTTTTGTTTACTATTGTCGTTAACTCCTTGGCGCGACAGGTCACATCTGCACAAATCGCGTTCTTATCACAAGAATAGACTGCTCTTGTTTATTTATCGTTGTTAGCTAGAAAGATAGACAGTCTTTCAGTATTATTTTAGTAACCTTGATCTTAGTTTAATTAGTACTGAATATGAAAGAGCTTGGTCTTTAGATGTAGAAAAGTTAGCAAGATGGTTCCTTTAAAGAAAGAGCCGTAGGGGCTTTGTCAGGGAATATGAATTAACAGTGTTTAATGAATTAATAGTTGGATGTACAGTGTTGTCACTATGAGCTGTAGGCAGCTCTTTGACTGTTAAGAATGCATCATCCAGTAAAATTAATCAAATTTTGAGAAATGTAACATGAACATTATACAAATATGTTATATACCTACTGTTATACAGGGTGACAAAAAAGTCTGGAAACGGTTTAATATCTTTTTAACTAAATTTGTTAGAAAATTCAAACCTTTCACATCAACTTATATGTATGAAAACTACTTTTTGCAATCATTGCCATTATTTGACCTTCACCAGGGAAGGCCCACGAGGAGTAGGTACATAATCTTTAACGTAAGCATAGGTTGATATGCACATCATTTTAAAGGTCTGATTATGTGGAGTTCATTACCGGAAACCGCGTCAAAAAAGGTTCATCCGTTACAAAATGGCGGCAGTTCAAAGATCTTGCGGAATATACCTGCAGAGACCTTAGTATTGGTAAATACTCATAATCAACATTCGCAGGGAAATCTGAAACCCGGTTAAATTTGTTTTGATGATTGAATACTATTAGTCTATGAGCTAGTTGACTTTAAAATACAGTTTAAGCTCTCAAGCTAATGTTTAATACGAGTATTTGCCCATACTAAGGCCTATTCAGGTATATTTCACAAGAACTTTGGACAGCTCCCATTTTGTAACGGATGAACCTTTTTGGACGCGGTTTCCGGCAATGAACTCCATTTGACTAACCCTTTAAAATGGTGTGCATATCAACCTATGCTTACATTAAAGATTATGTACCTACTCCTCATGGGTCGTCCCCTGGTAGAGGTAAAAAAATTACAATGCTTGGAAAAAGTAGTTTTCATACATGTAAGTTGATGTGAAAGGTTTGAATTTTCTAACGGATTTAGTTAAAAAGATATTAAACCGTTTCCAGACTTTTTTGTCACCCTGTATATACCTACTGTTATATGCGATATCATGTATAGCCTACCTAATGTTTGCCTACCTAATGGGGCACTGAATAAATATAAAATGTTAAGTAAAGCAAGAAGTAGCTTATATTTTATCATCCTAAAAGTACAATAATAAATTGTAAGTATGTAATGTGATTCTTCATCAGTTATGTTAATGGTGTTTGGAAAAGCTTAAAAACTTAATTTTACTTTCAATTAGTTTTTGAATATTAACTTTTTTAACCTTTCTCTAATTGAATAGAGCTTGTACAATGTCTTGTGTAGTGAAATAGTATCCAGGAAGTATGGAGAAATGACGTTGTTAGTTTTGTTGGAGGTTATGGGGGGGGGGGAGAATAAGTCTATGAATAGGGGTGCACGGGGAATACTTGCATTGGGGCGCAGTGAGACTAGTTACGCCACTGAACCCAGTGAGCTTTTATTAGGCACGTAATATGTGTAAGCTTGAAAATAAGTAGGCAACACTTAAAGATACTACGACTACGATCAGCTGGTGCAGCGTTTCCCATTCCGTTTATTTACATAAAGACTAGCAGAGAACCCGTCTTTCGTATGTGATTGGCATTATACTCAAGCTTTGCATTTGCAATGGGGGAGGACACAGTTTGATAAAAGTTGCTTCTTTAAATTGACGGTATACTATAGTACTATACATCTAACATAGCCATAATGTTCACCTAAACAACAGAGAAAAATAAATGATTAAAGTTTCGCAAAATATCACAAATTATTCATGAAATTAAATCCATAAGCTACTGTAAACAATCCGACTTAGACAGTCCTCATTGTGTATCACAGATTTTTGGTACTGATTAGTTTAAATTAGCTGTTATCATAAATGAAAAAAAAATTATAGTGGTGGACCCTGTTGGTAAATTTTATATCTTTTAATGCTTTTGCATATCATAGAACCAACTTTTTAGTTGAAACAGCTGACTAAATTCTTAAATTCCCTTTAAATATGAATACTCATAAGGTTAACATGGGGAACTAAAGAGCCACTGGGGCAGAGCCCGAATGGATTTTTGAGATAAGAATATGCTTATATGTTAATCAGGAATGTGAGCTATCATTATGCCAAATTTCAGCCAAATCCGTCCAGTAGTTAATGCGTGATTGAACTTCAAAAAATCAAACAAACACACAAACTTTCACATTTATAATATTAGTAAGATACAAGAGGTTCTACCCGCGAATTCACGGGTGTACAGAAGACACAATTAAATTAATTTAATCAACTTTGATTTTATATTTCATTTAAAGTTCCTAAGCTCGAGAAATTGTCATCTAAAAGGATGTTAAAAGCAGTGAAACCTTCATACCTTACGTCCTGAGGTGGCCGAGGTGGGTGCGGTTGTACCTGAACTCGCCGCTCTCTTCCACGACGTCTTTAATACTTAAATACTTTTCAATGAAATGGCAACCTGTTAAAGATCGGTGAAAAACTCTTGGAACGAACAACATACATGGTTTGTTAATCTCATATTCATCGTGTTTCGATCATCCTTAATCTCTCACTTGTTTCAAACAGCTTCACTTTCCATTCACCGCACCTCTTTTAAGAACATAAAAGTAAATAAAATAAGTAAATAAAAATGTAAACAAACAAACTATATTGTCAAATGTAATTGGCCAGCTGTTGTTCACTAAATTAATCGAATGGCAACTTCCAAAACATGCAAGGCGTAGCCCTTTGGAAATCAGCCTGTGGGGCAGAGCCCTTAGGGAGTTCGTCCATATCAATACTTTTCGGCAAATCTACACACGCTGAGCTTCATTTTGATATGCTGTATGCCTATATCTTTATTTGGTAAATTGCCTTAACCGTTTACATAAAATTTGATTGTACCACTTTAATAATATAATAGATTTGAATCTTGAATCTTGTAGGATTAACTGAAGCGCGGAGCCTCTAATTCCATAATTTTCCTGCTTATTAAAGAGGATGGTTGGGTTCACACAGTCAAAATGTAATATGCTAATTTCTTGTTACTGGGATCCCAAAGCAGAACCACAGGTGATGGTGCTACATTGTCCCAGAAAGACGGCAAGGGCTGCAGAAAGCCCAGCCTGTCTAAAAAAAAATTTATTGAAAAATTACTTATTTTCACGGCCACATGGCTCTTTCTTGCACTTAACCTGTATAAAACAAATAATAAAATTGTTTTTTTTTTGCAGAAAATATTTCTGTAGAAAATCTACAACTTTTATTTTCTGCATAAAAATTATACGTTCTGCAAACAGTAACGCTACAAAATGTCATGCATTACATAAACAAAAGCTGTGACGTCAATACTCGGTGCATCGATCGTGAGTAAGAACTCATAAAACAACCTATTTACTAAGCGATTCATTGTAATAACAGTAGGCGTATTTGAACGGATACAAGCATTTGAAAACTTATTTATCTCCAAATATTCATTAAAACCATCACACACGCGGTTCATTTACACGCAACTTGGACCGTGTAAGCCCGCACAAAATGTTTGTATTTTTCCAAGTCTGTTGCATAAAGTTTAAAACCTTCTTTGGGGCTGGCTGGGATGTAGGCTTAACTTATCTTATATTTCAGACACTTGAATCTTATATCCATATTCTTGTCTCACTTTAATCTAAACCAACAGGCCGAGAAGTGATTTGGGGGAGCGAGCTGGTGTAGTGGTTAAAGCGCGGAACTTCAGTCCCTGAGGTCCCGGGTTAAAATCCCGCTAAGTCACCAATGGATTTTATTTACGTGATAATGCCGCAACCCCTAGGTCTAGCCTGAAGTAATGTGAAAAACAATCCCGGGCTCGTGCCTAGCGTCCTAGGAAATATATATATATATATATATTTGCCTAAATATTTACCTTAATATATGTGATTTGTCATTTTCAGGAACTACAAGAACTGGCTTCTCAAGACAAAACTCTGCATATTTTACCACTTGGTAAGAGTAATGAAAACAACATAAACTACAGTAGACCTACAATTGTAAACCTTAAAAGTTAATAATTTCAATAAATTCATAATTTTAACTTTATTACATTCTTCTTAATATAGATTAAGATTAATTTTGTTTAATGCATCTCAGCTCCAGTAAAATTAAACAATAAGATATTTAATACAGGAATTTAAAAACATTTTTAATTAGTATAGGTAGTTGCGCACACACACCGAATTTAGATGGCTGATTGTTAAATAACGTCCAATCCAATAGGAAACCACAGGAGTGAATGGAATCTACCACACACTAAAACCACTCAAGGGTGGTCCCAGGGGGGGGGGGTCAAAGGGATCGTGACCCATCCAAAATCTTTTTTTTACAGATAAACTATTATATATTAAAGGGAAACTCAATAATTTTTACTTCAAAACATTCAACCAAATTCATTGTAGTCTATAGGCTACACTTGTGGTGAACGGTAGGGAATGAATACAAACTCAGACCTAAAACTCGGGATCGTTCGAGTGTTTGAGTGATTGAACACTTGAAAGCATTGACTATTGGACAGAAGAGTAACCAGATAATAATATAAATAATAAAGATCTTGTATCAATAGTCAAAGCTTCAGAGGTAGTTGAGTAATATATAGCTGAGTCATTTTAACCCAAGCATTAGGAATTTTTAATTACAGTAGCCAATTTTAAAACTTTCAATATTGAAATAGTGGCAATTAGGGATGAGAATATCAGTGACTTTAAAATATCACTCGGAACTGTGACTGTGACAAAGAAATATCGGTTAAAAATATCGGTGACTAGTCACAGCGATATATGCTACGGTGGCGCTCCGTGCGGTGATACTCAAAACTACGAAACTGTGACGATGCCATTGGCTTGGCGTCGGCGTGCATCACTCGAACGGCTAACCAGCTACTTGTGACTGCGACTGTGACTGCTCCAAACCCCGAATGACTGCTACTGTGATCTCGCGCTGTTGACGATATCACTGTATAATAATTAATCTGATGAGTTCATCTCAATAACGCAGAAACTGAAACTAATGTAAACAAAACAAAGCGAACAGCGATAGGGTGCAAAGCCCGCTCAAAGTACAGTAGTTCGCTCAAAATCCGAAGGATACAGAGAGCAGCACTTACAAGGACGGCGGATACAGCCCAGTCACAGCGCTCCTACAGTCGATATTTTGAACTAAAAGCCTGTGACTGCGACTGCGACTGGGGAACAGAGACTGTGACTCGCTCAGTCACAGCGCTGCTCGCGCTTCTACAGTCGATATTTTGAACTAAAAAGCTGCGACTGCGACTGCAAATGGTGAACAGAGACTGTGACTCCGGTAGCTGCTACTTTTGATATCGTGTCACAGACTGTGACTGCGACTTAAAAATATCGGTGACAAAATCACAGTCTGTGATTTATCGCTCATCCCTAGTGGCAATAGTGAAATGGTGGCCGTGAGTAACGGCGACCGGCAACGTTAGTTGGATAGTGTACTTTGTGTAGGTTAACTAACTGCTGCTTACTGGGCAGATAAAATGCAGTCGTGTTGGGTGCAAGCTATCAAACATTTATTCGATAAAATAAGTTCTGGTTCCAAATCTTGGTCTGATTTAGGAATACATTTTCTGTTTGCAATGCACATCGGCACCAGTTGAAAGGGTATTTTCACAATTCAATAATGCTTGAGGAATAGTTAGAACCTTGATACGAGAATCCATTACAAAAACATAAATTCATTGATTTTCTTTATTTGAAACTGAATGTACAAAAGTCAATGTGTTGTATTTTTGTGGTATTCCTTCGTTGTTAAAACCAACGCCAACCATACCAACAGTTAATAAAATTCCACAAGTCTCAATAATGCAAAAACTTCACATCGCATGTTTATTTTTTGAACATTTCTTTAACCTTGAAATAAACTGGGAAGCTTGTACACATTAAGCTAGGTCAATTTAATTTTTAAGCACATCATTTTCAAATTTCCCCTGGCCCTCCCTTTGCATATTCCATACCCCCCAGTGACCCCCCATAGAATATGCCAATGTTTTTACATTTTCCTACCAAAGAATTTTTTTTTGGCTGGAAATGCATCTAAAGGAGAAAGGAATGTACATTCTATGTACGCATGTATAAAAAATGAATAAAGTTATTTTGAATCTTGAATGAAGATGTTTAAATGGACTTTTATTAAGATTCATCATCTGGCTGTCTGATATTCTGAAATGGAAATTAATTTTCAACTGTCTACTAACATTCTCAAATATTTCTTTCTATGCATCATCATGTTCCTTATGTTCATGTTTACATAATTAATAAAAATAATTCTTTCAAGGTAATAGATTCATGTTTGAAAGCTCATGTAGTTAATTGAGTTAATTGTTTAAAAAGGGCAATAACAAATTGTCATTTGATGATTCTGTGACAGCATTTGTTTATTATCAAAGTTACATTTAGTATAATAATAACAATAAATAAGGAAGGGTCATTCATTTTCCTGCCGATTCCATTTTTGGCCAGCATCGTGGTCCCAAGTAAGCTAGAAGGTGAAGCAAATTCAAAGACACCAAGGATGTGTAAATGCTTAAATTTTCTTGCGAAATAATTTCTTTTGGCTATGTGATTTTTCTTTGCAGATGTGACCAAATTTGATTTGTTCAAGGACTTTGTCAAGAGTGTGAGTGGAATTGTAGGAGAGAAGGGTCTCAATGTGTTGTTCAACAACGCAGGTATTCTTCTAGACAAAGATGCTAAGTTGGATTCTGTTACTGTGGAATCTCTCACCACACAATTCACTTCCAACACGGTTGCTCCCATCATACTTACCAAGGTGAGATTTTTAAAACTAGGTAATAAGTATGTAGCCTTCCTTGGTACATTCCATTTCAATTTGGTATGATGTTATGATTTTAAGGTCATATGATGTATTATTTGAGTATATAATTTTACTAGATTACTATTTCTCAAATGAATTTAAAGTAAAATACCCCCGCCGCAGCAAACCTGCAGACTAAGCGAATTTCCATTTCCCTGAATGGCTTTACACTAAAATGTCTCCTTAAAAATATCACATTTATTCCCTATTTAAATAGAATCAGTTTAAAACATACTTAGGTTTGCTGCAACAGGGAGGGTAAAAGTGTTTTTTATGTAAAATGTTATTAGTTAGTAAGAAATAAAAACATTTTCCAAATTTGGGCAAAATCTATATCTATAAAAGAGGAAGTTTGTATGTATATATATATATATATATATATATATATATATATGTTTGAACGTTATGGACTCCGAAACCGCTCGACAGATTGTAATGAAACTTTCAGGAATTATTAAGCATCTTTCAAGGATGGTTTTTGTGAAGTTTGGTGCAGATCCGTCAAAAGGGCTCCGCCCCAGAGGGTTTTAAGTGGGACAATGTCAGACTTTTTTAATCACAACGTTCTGTATTAGTCATGATTTGAAATAGTGCCACAGTGTTTCTACAGAGTGCAGCACAGAAAACTATTTTACTTTTGAATAAGTCCAAATATATTAAACCCCAATCGCAGCACACCTGTGCACTCAACAACGTTTAAATTCTCCAATGTTGAATATGTAAACATAAAAACCTTGATTAAAGTATTATAAACAATAAAAGGGATGGTAATGCCTTAATATTTTTATCTTTTGTTCTATACCCACACAATCTAACATAAATTATTAAGTGAATAATAATCGTGCGTGCTATCTCAGGTATTCAAATGCCATTACTGGCATTAAAAGAAGGAACTCCATTAATACTAATGCGAAACTTAAATCCACTTAAAAGGAGAAATAGTCTTAATCCCAAGAATACTGATGACTTCATCCAAATTACCCTCTGAATTGAAGCAACTACAATTTCCTTTTTTTGTCTTTCTTTCCCAATCACCATTATAAGGCACTAGGGCAAACCCTGACTATCGTCGGTTTAAATTTTGAAAATGCATGCTTTTCACACGGACAGCTGTATGTTGCGTGCTCACGTGGTGGTAGGTACGTCTAAAAACTTATAGAAAAAACAAAAAAAAATTGTTTAGGCCCTATTCACTGGCAATTAAGTAAAATATTCTATTTTTATTTTTCGTACACACTTTTATTATTCATCGTAAAGAACAAATTACCATTTACAATAATAGTTGTTAAGCGCAGCAACGCGCGCCGGGTAACTGCTAGTATGTTTATAAACAAGCAAACTACAACAGTTTACTTATTCTCCATAAGAATAACATGGGAATTTTAAATTTACAATTTTTTGGAATTTTCTCCGTAACCATTAGGCGCATTATAATGCTTCAATATACTAAATTATTTGTTTTTTTAAGCTCTACAAAATAGTTTCAAAAGAAATTGCAAAATTTTATGTTTTTCGGGTCAAAAATGGGAAAACCCCATTTTTACCCCATAAAAGCCCCCATAAACCCCCGTTCCCATGGTCCGATCATGCTGGTTCGCGAACTCGTTTGAATAAACGTAGGTTTACACGTTTGTACCAAATTTCATCAAAATCGGATCATTTTTGCTTGAGTTATCGCGCTAACAGACACATATATATATGAATCTGAACGGATGGTGTTTTTGGCCTCTAGGGACCTCAAAACAAAAAAAAAAATTGGTCCCGGGTCCAGGTCTTACCGTGAGTACTACGGTAATAGCTTATTCCCTATATGGGAAATTCACTAAAAATGACCATAGATACAATTCACGTAAACAGTTTTATATTGTTCCTAAGACCACAAACAAATTTTCAAAAAGAGTTCCAACGTTTTTTAATAGATTGCCAACTGAAATAGAAAATATAACTAGTTTTAGAGTCTTTAAATCTAGGCTTAAGCATTGTTATCTCAATGAATCCTTTTAAACTACTTACTTATTATATTATTGTTAAAGTTAAAATCATTTAATGCACGTTATTTATTTTAGTATTGTCATCTTAAGGAATCTATTAAAACTGGTTTAATATTGTTGTTATTATAAATTATTTAATTATTTATTATTTATTTAGTTATGTATTGTTGTATTGCTATAAAAATTATTTAATTATATTATTGTTAAAGTTGAGAAGTATTTATTGCATGTTATTTATTGTTATATATTTTATTTATTTAAGATAATTGTTTAAAGTTGTTTTTCAAGCAAGCTAGTCTTATATAGAAAGGTAGAGAATAAGTCAAAACAACAATATAATAGCAGATCTTGACAAGAAACAAGGACAACCAGAGTGTAATATGGAGATGGACTGACCAAGGGACAAAGTACATTGTTATCTAGAACAAGTTTATCTCTATGAGCTGCAGACAAGCCAAATTTTCCTGGCTTTTGCAGCAAGCTTTTGTTCATAAAATGTTGTAAGTTTTTTGTGGTTTTTCAAATAAATACCAATAATAATAAAATATATTCTATATACAAAAACTATATATATATATATATATACAGTAAAACCTCACTAACTCAACCCCCGGTAACTCGACAGACAACACTACTACCAGTGTGTTCAAATTTTCAAAGACGGCTTAAGATTGTTCATTAGATTCTTTGAAGATTGTTTAGGCCTACTCAACTTGTAAAAATACTCATGTAAGTAAAAAACAATTTTTTTTTTTTTATTTATTAAAACCCATTAAAAATTACTATGTTCTGGATGATTCAACAACTAAATAACTTCTTGATCAGCATTGTACGTGTTATTAAATTTACGGAAAGTAAATAAAAGAAACGTCTTATAACACTTAAAACATATATTTACGCTTATACTATTACTCACAAGACGGTAAATATACAAAAACGATGGTAAGTGGTGATCGATTTCGATTGGACACTCCAATCATCATCAGACCCAATAGGCGAATGACAAGAATCTTGAATGGCGTCCCTACTTATACCCTATTGGCTACCGGAAGCACCGGCCAATACATTTTTATAAGTACAACTGGAATCAAAATGTATTTGTTCATTAATCAACTTATTTCTATCTTTACATTTTTCCTTATAAATATACAATTCTTCCCAAGCATTCATTACATATCCTTTCTTACAATTCTTTAAAATATCTAGACTATCCTCCATTTTTCCTAGTGAGTGCCCATTTTGTAACAGGTGTTGTGCGACATTTGATCTTTCCGGTTTGTTGTTCCTCCACGCAGATATGTGGTTTTTGAAGCGGTTTACGAAGTTCACAGTCTGTCCAATGTAGAAGCTATCACAATCGTTACAATTGATTTTATAGATGCCCGAAGTGTCAAATTTGTTACAATCTTCTATTTTTGGATGCAGTATTTTACTCATGGTGTTCTGAGTCCTGTAGGCTATTGAAACTCCGTATTTCTTGAATCTGTTAGCAGTCCTTTGTGTTGTAGTCCCCGTGTAGCTAAATGTGATATATCTGGTGCTTTCCTCTTTTATCTCTTCTAATGTTGTTCTGCTGTGTAGTGTATTCTGTCTATCGATTTTTCTCCTCGTCTTCCTTGCGATGTCCTCTATCGTCTTGGTTCGAAATCCATTCACTTGGGCGATCTTCTTAATGGTGTCCAGTTCTTTTTTCCTATTGGCTTGGCTAAGTGGGATCTTATAGGCTCGGTACAGCATAGATATAAAGGCTGCGGTCTTGTGGATTGTCGGATGGATAGACTTGTTGATTGTAGTGTCCGTTTGCGTAGGTTTCCTGTAGATGTCAAACTCTTATCAATAAAAACGATCAATTGTAACGATTGTGATAGCTTCTACATTGGACAGACTGTGAACTTCGTAAACCGCTTCAAAAACCACATATCTAGAAATAATAATACAACTTAGTAATAATACAACTGGTCTGATGATGATTGGAGTGTCCAATCGAAATCGATCACCACTTACCATCGTTTTTGTATATTTACCGTCTTGTGAGTAACAGTATAAGCGTAAATATATGTTTTGAGTGTTATAAGACGTTTCTTTTATTTACTTTCCGTAGATTCAACAACCCCCAAACTCAACAGCTTCTGAGTCCACAAATTGTTGAGTAAGTGAAGTTTTACTGTACTCATTTTTGGTCATTTGATTTTGGCTACATTGAATGAAAGATAGGCTATTAGATGACTAGTAAAAAAGTATGATATTTTTAGCGAATTTCCGTATGGGGAAGTAGCTATTTAGCAAATTTCCCTATTGGGAAGTAGTTATTTAGCAAATTTCCCTATAGGGAAGTAGTTATTTAGCGAATTCCCTATAGGGAAAAGTAGCTATTACCGTAGGTCTCATGGTAAGACCTAGGCCCGGGACCGATTTACTTTTTCATTTTGATGTCCCGAAAGGCCAAAAACACCATTCGTTCAAATTTTTATATATGTATATATATATATATATATATATATATATATATGTGTGTGTATGTGTGTCCGTCCGGACGATAACTTGAGTAATTTTTGTCCGATTTTGATAAAATTTGGTTTAAAGGTGTAAGGCGGGATAAACTTGAATGAGTTCGCGAACCAGCATGATCGGACCATGGGAACGGGGTTTAACGGGGGGTTTTATGGGGTAAAAATGGGTTTTTCTCATTTTTTACCCCTAAAACACAAAATTTATCAATTTTTCTCCAGACCTTTTTAAAGACCTTAAAAAACCAAATAATTTTGTATATCAAAGTGTTTTTGCACTATAATTGGTTACGGAGAAAATTCAAAAAATTGTTAATTGAAAATTCCCATGTTATTTTTAAGGAGAATATTGTAAAATGTAGTTTGCTTGTTTATGGATATATTTTGATCAAACTTGGCAGATTTATTTATTTCATACTAAGCTATTGATATTTTAATAAAATACACACTTAGTTTC